ATGTACTAGAAATGTGGTAAGAACAAGTCTTGCACTACATTACTCCCTCTTGTGAGAGGACAGAAACAACCTTCTCAACGCAACAGTATGGATCCCAGATAAAACCATATCGATTCCTAAGTCTAATAGTAGAGTTGTACTGACTAGCTCTAACTTGGTAAAATAGGTAGCCGAGTCGTTGCAGGTAGTTTGTGGCTAATCGAAGAAAAGCTCACCAGATCTACGCTCAGATGAGTACCATTCCATTTCCTGCTGAGACTATTATAAGAAAAGATAGACGATTGGTAAAATAACACTGGTAAAAAAAGAAATGAAAGATAAATTATCGCTAAACGCTGACGGTCTAGCTACTGTTAGGAAAGAATTTCTACTGCTCAGCGATGTGCTGCTTGTTGCAATAGTATTCATTCTCGATCTTGCTCCGTTTCTTATTACGATTAATGTATCTGAAATCAAACAGTCAGCTCATAAGGCGAGCTTAAGCGAAACCCGTACGTGAGGCAATTCTTGATGATCCGTGTGGCGATTGTAGCTCCGGTTAAGCGAGGGTAATCACTCTCTACTTCACGGAGGATACCCAAACGCTTTGGAACTTCATTCACTTGTATCACCTAAAGCAGCCGTTAAAACATCATCCTACCAAGCAAGACTGGTATTTACTTCTCCTATCTCATCATAATGAACCCACTTGGGTCGACGGGAACCTACAAACAGCCTCACAAGAATCTCATACTGCGTAGAGAACGAACTTATCGAGCCTTGTGCAACAATACTGATATTCATAGTCCTAATCAGGTCCTCACTGATCTCCACAGGGGCGCCGATTATAACTTCATCGACATGCTTGCATGCACTCACGTTCAATACCTGATGATAACCAACAACTCAATGAGTTGTCGATGATGACGACATTTACTCGCTCGTGAAGGTTCATCACAGGGTAGTTGCCACCCTTCATTTTATTGACTGTTTCATCATCGAAGATGCCCACCAATAAGTATCTGAGATGTCGTGAGAAGGCCAAAAAAGCGGTGATTGAAGTCATTCAAGTTCGTTACAATATCGAGACGATTCCTCAATTGAGACCGTCCGTCTACCATAAGCGTAACGAAACTCACGTTCCGAGAGCTTTCGCCTTCTCGAGAGTTGTTGCATGTCCAACATTGAACATATCAAAAGCTCCATCAACGTAGCTGAGATAAGTAAATAGAAATAACAGAAGAATTGGGTAGTTACACGACAGTGTCATCTGCCGATGGAGCCCGCCTTGAGGAGAATTCGGCAATCCGTCTTGTCGTCGTGAGCATCCGTACCTGACGACCGGACTAAACAGTACGGAAGACGTCAATCCCTCTGGACTCACCAAGGTGCCAGTCCGCTTGTTGAGATCAATGTTCTCGTCAGTATTGGGCTTGCACAGATGGTCCTTCGTCATGAGTAACATTCGGCCAATCAAATCGGTGGTAGAGACGCCCTCCGTACCTGACAAGGCCGAGAATAGACTGAATGAGCCACCTACTGTACAGTGAAGTGAAAACGACTTCTTACGCTTGATGATCCGAAGCTTGCCAGCATCTCTGAGCTCGTCATAGACACCCTTACCCGACGAGTCAACCGGCATATCATCGCCGTGGACCTACGAAAGGAAAGCGGCAACGTTCGAGATATGATAAATGACGCATCTAGTCGATGACTGGAGGTACATAAGAGACGCCGAGATGAACTACGCAAAAGTCGGCCCTCGCCTTCTCGAGAGTTTTCAAGCCGATATCATAAGACGCATCATAGAGGATCTCGTCAACCCACTTGATGTGCTTCAAGAGTTCATATCTGAAAACAGCATAGAGAACAGAACTTCTCATCGACAAGAGTAGGTTGCTCCTCATTGTCACCTTTCCCTCTGCTTCATAACAGGAGGTGCCTTCCTGTCGGTTATAACACTGTCTGAGTGTATGCCAACAACCAGTATGTCACATTGAGCTGAAGGGGAGCTGACCATCACATACAAGAAGCCCTCTCACCTTTAGCTTGTCGTATGGCATTGTAATGGCCGCTGTGCATAATGTCGAAGCAGCCGTCTATGTACCCTCTCACCTGATACAGTAGAGTTGATGATGATGTGGAGGGTATTGAAGGATCTCACCGGACGATGCTCCAGAATGTCGGAGCTCAGGGAGATAACATCATGATCTGGCATTTTTGAAGATGGGAAGAAATGTACTACCTACTTCAATATGAAGCCCAGTCGGAACCCGCCGCATCATCTCAAACCCAAGGTTTTCGACTGCTTGGTAATATTCTAATCGTGTAAGGTGGGAAACTAGGGTACTACGAGCACACAAAAAACAATCTCTCAGTGCGCAAAGAATTCAACTTTCCCACGTATGTTCAGTAACACTGTCCCCACACCATTGCGGTACTCAAACTTCGTTCATTCTAGCTACAGCTGTGTCCAACCCGTTTACCGAGGTTCGAGCGAGGTGTTACTTCGTTGCATAGATGATGACACCGACGTGGCACCAGTGGGAGAAACATCCAATCTCGTCATCATTTCGAGGGCACGATAGAACTCGAAGCTCTGGGACGAATAACCTATCCTATTGCATATCAGCTCTTTCTCGAGCTTCTGCTGAGATATTCAGCTTCGGATAGTCGTATTAACATGGACTGTCAATGATGGCTCATCAAGAAGCAGTAACTCAAGGATGTGTTTGGACTTCTAGGAGCTCGTGTGGGCATTAGAGTGAGTTTTCATGGAGGAACTTTTGATGGGTCTCTTTTCAGCTAAAGCTACTTCATTGCGAATCGTTATTGGTGGTTCACAGCTTTCAGTGATATTGGTCGTTTCGTTGCTACTGACACCTGAGCGTTTGTGCAGTGATAGGGTGTGCATCGTATGCTTAGACGTCGACAGAGTGGCTTTTAACAGACTGAATCCGATGGCAGTATAGGAGGACTCCAAGAGTCCTCTATGTCAGTACTGATGATTGATAACTAGTGTTCACCACGAAATACTTAAGAGACGCAACTCGACCAGATAAAAACTTGGGAAATGAGTCTACACATCCATCATGAGTTTCCTCGGAATTCTGATCGTAATATGAGCACCGGTTGTGACTATAAATAACATCTAAGCCCATACGAGCATTTTCAAAGTAAAATAGTGATGGTTCTCGCTCTCATATCAGCGAGAATTCTACTGACATGACTTGGATCGTTCACGTCGTTCCGCGATGTATCTACGAAAGAGCTCATCGAAGC